AACAAGATAGATAAACCCTTAGCCAGACTAACCAGAGGGCACAGAGACAGTATCCAAATTAATAAAATCAGAACTGAAAAGGGAGACATAACAAACAGAAACTGAGGAAATTAAAAAAAAATCATCAAATCCTACTACAAAAGCCTATACTCAACAAAACTGGAAAATCTGGATGAAATGGACAATTTCCTAGACAGAGTTCAGGTACCAAAGTTAAATCAGAAGCAGATAAACCATCTAAACAGTCCCATAACCCCTAAAGAAATAGCAGCAGTCATTAAAAGTCTCCCCACCAAAAAAAAAAAAAGCCCAGGACCAGATAGTTTTAGTGCAGAATTCTATCAGACCTTCCAAGAAGACCTAATACCAATTCTCTATAAATTATTCCACAAAATAGAAACAGAAGGAACACTACTCAATTCGTTTTATGAAGCCATAATTATGCTCATAACTAAACCACACGAAGACCCAACAATGAAAGAGAACTTCAGACCAATCTCCCTTATGAATATCAATGCAAAATACTTGATAAAATTCTCAAAAATCAACTCCAACAACACATCAAAAAAATCATCCATCATGATCAAGTAGGCTTTATCCCAAGAATGCAGGGATGGTTCAATATACAGAAATACATCAATGTAATCCACTATATAAACAAACTCAAAGAAAAAAAAACCACACAATCATCTCACTAGATGCTGAGAAAATAATTCAACATCCCTTCATGGTAAAAGTCTTGGAAAGATCAGGAATTCAAGGCTCATACCTAAATATAGTAAAAGCAAATCAAAACAACCCTGAGATTCCACCTCTCACCAATCAGAATGGCTAAGATCAAAAACTCAGGTCATAGCAGATGCTGGCGAGGATGTGGAGAATTAGGAACACTCCTCCATTGTTGGTGGGCTTGCAAGCTGGTACAACCACTCTGGAAAACAATCTGGAGGTTCCTCAGAAAACTAGACATAGCATTACCTGAGGACTCAGCTTTACCACTCCTGGGCATATACCCAGAAGATGCTACAACATATAACAAGGACATATGCTCCACTATGTTCATAGCAACCTTGTTTATAATAGCCAGAAGCTGGAAAGAATCCAGATGTCCTGCAACAGAGGAATGGATACAGAAAATGTGGTACAGTTTCACAATGGAGTATTACTCAGATATTAAAAACAATGAATTCGATAAATTCTTAGGCAAATGGATGGAACTAGAAAATATCATCCTGAGGGAGGTAACCCAATCACAAAAGAACACACATGGTATGTACTCACTGATAATTGGATATTAGCCCAAAAGCTCACAATACCAAAGTTACAATTCACAGACCATATGAATCTCATGAAGAAGGAAGACCAAAGTGTGGGTGCTTCAGTCCCTCTTAGAAGGAGTAACAAAATACTCATGGGAGCAAATATGGAGACAAAGTGTGGGACAGAAACTGAAGGAGGGGTCATCTAGAGACTGTTCCACCTGGGTATCCATCCCATGTGCAGTCACCAAAGGTAGGTGCTAATGTGGATGCCAGGAGGTGCATCCTGAGTGGAGCTTGATATAGCTGTCTCCTTAGAAGTCTGCCAGAGCCTGACATATACAGAGGCAGATGCTCACAGCTAACCATTGAACTGATCATGGGGTTCCCAATGGAGGAGTTAGAGAGAAGACTGAAGGAGCTCAAAGGGTTTGTGGCCCCTTGGGGAGCACAACAATGCCAACCAACCAGAGCTCCCAGGGTCTAAACCACAAGCCTGGAAGCACATAGGGAGGGACCCAAAGCTCCAGCTGTATATGTAGGGGAGGATGGCGTTGTTTGGCATAGGTGGGAAAGGAGATGTTTGGTCCTTTGAAGGCTGGATGCCCCAGTGTAGGGGAATTCGAGGGTAGGGAGGTGGGAGTAGGTGGGTGGGGGCACAGCCTCATAAAAGCAGGAGGAAGGGGGATGGTATAGGGGGTTTCTGGGGAGGGTGGAAATGGGAAAGGGTATAACTTCTGAAATGTAAATAAAATATCCAATAAAAAATTTTAAAAAGAAACAACAGCATGGGTTGGACAAATGTCGACGTTAGATGTCATGCTTGTCTCTTGGGTCTCTGCTCAGCTGTTTCTCCCTGCTGATGTGAGGTCTAAAAGAGTTGTTCTCAGCCTGTTTGTCAAAACCTCTTTTAGGCTTGAATGAGCCTTTCCCAGGGGTTGTCTAAGACCATCAGAAAACATAGATACTTACATTACAATTCATAACAGTAGCAAAGTTACAGTTATGAAGTCGCAATGAAAATGGTCTATCTCACTAACAGCTAAGGAGTGTTAACTGAGCAGATACTCCTGGAACACCAAAGAAGAGCAACAGTGAAGCACCCTTACCCAGGCAGGGTTAGGAAGAGGAGCAAGTGTGCATGCAGCAGACACTAGCAGGCGGTGTCAGTGAGTCTACACATCTACACCTGACGTCTGTGCAACGCTGCCTGCAGGACTCCCTCCCCAACAGCACTTGGCAGTAGGTAGAACATGTGCTCCAAGGGCACTCTTCTCCTTGGTGACAAATGAGAAACACTGAAATGCAGAATTATCACTACACTTAAATCAGACAGTAGGTGCAAAAACACTCCAGAAAAACTCTTTCCAGCTCCCTGCTGTCTACAGCATGAAATCAAACTACCTGCCAGGGCCGAGCCATCCAGAACCTTACCCCAAGGCTCCCTGCACCCGCACTGCTCCCTATCCTCCAGCACTCATCAACTCAGTCAGAACTCAAGACCACAGGGCAAGCCGTGACATTTACTCTTCCAAGCCCCGCTCACCCACGAGGCGCAGCCCCATCCCAGCTCGACACCATTTGTGTCAGTAGCCCCCACAGTTCCTCAGCATGTGGCAAGCTATGGCTGCTTTGTGTGCACTGCTGATTATCCCCACTGTCTGACCCTCGAGTGCAGAGTCTGAGCTTTTCACGAGCAGCCCTGGCCAGCTCCTGTCAGGACACAGTAACTTGTACATGGAGCTGCTTGCTGAGTTTCTGATGAACAGACAGCTCTCTATGAAAAATCCTAGCTCCAAACGTCCACAGAACCAACATCTCATGTCTCCAGTGGCCTCCCCCTCAGGTTGTCAGTTCTCTGCAACGCTCTGTCAAGTTGTGTATCCTAAACTTGTTCTCGGAGCCCTCCGGCCTTGGGTTTGAGGACGCCTCCCTTTTCTTTACACTCTAACAGCACAGCTGCTCTGCTGTCAGCATTTCTTGGTCCTCTTGTCTTCCCTGTCCACAGTCTGTCCTTGACCATCTCTCAACTTCTTGCTGGCTTCCTTGTGCTTTACAGTGTGGAACTACAAAGAGAATGCTTTTGAGAACGTCAGGTGTCATGCTACTGCTATTTTAATACACGGGTCTTCAGAAAAGTTAACAGTATCTAATACCACTGAGCCTCAGTTTTAGCCATAATTCCTTCTAGAAACTTTAAATAGTAAAGCAGCTTTCTTTTTTGTTTAGTTGGTTTTTTAAGAAAGGGTTTCTCTGTTAATCCCTGGCTGTCCTAGAACTCACTCTATAAACCAGGCTAGCCCCAAACTCAAGACATCCACCTGTCTCTTACCTTCCAAGTGTTAGAACTAATGCATGCACTACCCACCACACCCAGCTATAGGAGCTTTCTAAATTAAAACAAAGTAATTATTTTTATTACATAATTTTTTAATCTTAATACAAGAGAATATAAAATAATTCCAACATATGAAAGCCAGTTTTCTCGATGTGAAGCTTGAAAGCAAAGCACAAGCCATTCTCATCTCTGTACATTTACTAAACAAGAAGTGAGCTGACGGCTTTCAACTACAGTGTTCACATCTGAAGGAATACGGTTAGTCCACAGAAGCACTTGACCCCCAGGGGCCTTTCCCCAGTGTCACTCACACTGTCCCTTCATTAACACTGATCTTTTGGCAGCACAACTAAAGCTGAAACCACACAGCCATCAGCATGTCCCTGGGCAGGAATGACACACATGTCCATGAGAGTTCAGTAAAGTGTTTGCCATGTAGGCGTGAGGACCTGAGTTCAAATCCCTAGCACTCATGTAGACATGGGTATAAGGATAAATATCTGTAGCTACACTGTTGTAGAGGCAGAGACATGAAGATGTTCAGAGCGCACTGGCCAGCCAGCTGAGCTAAATTAACGAGCTCTGGATTCATCAAGGACACTGTCTCAAGAAAATAACAGTGAGAGAAAATGGAGGAAGACAGCTGATCTTGATCTCTGTCTTGTATGCATACATGGACCTGCAAGAACATATGCAAACACACACACCAAATGCTCAGGTGCCACATACAAAAAAGGGAACAAAAGCAATGATCCACAGTTTACAGCTTCCCATAGATAGATAAGCACGAATCACGCCATATATTGAAATAGGAATAGAAATACAATTCAGAACGTTGTAAGATGCTTCAATCGTAACACAGGCTCACTCTGTCGAGTATTAACTACTTAAATCTTGTATTATATTCCAAAAGGTTGTGGCTGGACACTCTGTATCAAAGTCAGAGTCAGCTATCCCCTACCATAAAACCACGCTGTTTTCAGATGCTCTCCAAAAGCATCTCAGTGTGCTCGCTCCCAAGTCTTCCAAATTCGTGTAAGATGAGGCGTTCTCAATACCATGGGGAGTCTATCTACTGCAGAGTACTTGATTTTACAATGTATTACTATCATGAAAATATATGTACTTTAAGTGTGTCCTATTGCACTCTGAAGTGGACAAGGACTCCCGGAAAGGCCTAACTAACAGCTGTCATGTAAGGTTGGCAGTTCTACAGGAGACACTCCTCCAGGTAGATGTGCACCATGAACGTACTCCCTGATGAGTACACAAGGTATTCACTGTGCAATATTATTAACATGATCAACAGTATGTCAACATCATTCAGTAATTCAACTGTTTGTCTATATCAACTTCTAGGTTAATATGAGTCATTTAATAAATTTAATCCAAACTCAACTTACCTTTTTGAGGCCTGCAAAACCTTCTGATTCCAGAAAGAAAAAGGCAAAGGGCATCAACACAAATAAACAAAGGTTGGAAAATAAAGAAGCAAGATTCCACAAACCTATAAAGGTGACAATAAGAAAAATTAAGAAAATGAGGTTAGACATTGACACACTGTTTCAAAGTTCACTAAGTTACGGTGCTCATCAAGATCTGCATTTTACTAATAAAAATCAATATCTATTTGAAATGACTATCTAAACTTGACTATTAGAAATAATTGTAGAAAAACCCAGAGAAGGCAGGATTCCCAGAAGTTCTAACATGCCCAGGAGTGTAGGTGAGTAAGTTACAACCCACCCAACCCCCAAACAGGGAGTAATTTGGAACTCGCTGGGATCCACGAACTCTCTCAAGGCCACTGGCACAAAACCCTTCCTATCTGTGCCTGCGCCTGCAGTAGCCCTATGGCTTCAGCTCTGTACCCAACTTCCCAAAACCCAGAGGAGTCTGGACTCCCAGGAGCTCTAGAACATAGGAACATAGGATAATAGGATCACAGGATCTCAGGAGCTTGGGAACACCAGGATTTCAGGAGCCCAGAAGCAGCCTGACTCCCAGGAGCTATCACAACCAGGGTCTCAGGATCACAGGATCACAGAAACAGCTGGACTCTCAGAGTTCTAACACAGCCAACATAACAGGACAGACAGGCTCCAGTCAGAGACAGTGAGTGAAGGTAGCACTAGAAATAAACCAGATGGCAAAAGTCAAGCAAAAGAACATAAGCAACAGAAACCAAAGTTACCTGGCATCATCATAACCTAATTCTCCCTCTACAGCAAGCCCTGAATACCCGATGACACCAGAAAAGCAACATTGAGATTTAAAACCACTTCTCATGATGATAGAAGACTTTAAGAAGGACATAAATAACTCTCTCAAAAAAATACAGGAGAACACAGGTAAACAGGCAGAAGCCCTTAAAGAGGAAACACAAAAATCCTTTAAAAAAATTACAGAAAACACAACCAAACAGGTGAAGGAATTAAAGAAAACCATCCAGGATCTAAAAATGGAAGTAGAAACAATAAAGAAATCTCAAAGGGAGACTACCCTGGAGATAGAAAACCTAGAAAGAGATCAAGAGTCATAGACGCAAGCATCACCAACAGAATTCAAGAGATAGAAGAGATAATCTCAGGTGCAAAAGATACCATAGAAAATATCAATACAACTGTCAAAGAAAACACAAAATGCAAAAAGCTCCTAACACAAAATATCCAAGAAATCCGGGACACAATGAGAAGACCAAATCTAAGGATAATAGGTAAAGAAGAAAGCAAAGATACACAAAGGGACAGTAAATATCTTCAACAAAATTACAGAAGAAAACTTCCTAACCTAAAGAAAGAAATGCCTATGAACATACAAGAAGCCTACAGAACTCCAAATATACTAGATCAGAAAAAAAATTCACCTCGTCACTTAATAATCAAAACATCAAATGTACAGAACAAAGAAAGAATATTAAAAGCAGTAAGGAAAAAAGGTCAAGTAATATATAAAGGCAGACCTATAAGAATTACACCAGACTTCTCACCAGAGACTATAAAAGCCAGAAGATCCTGGACTGATATCATACAGAACCTAAGAGAACAAAAATTCCAGCCCAGACCACTACACCCAGCAAAACTCTCAATCACTATAGATGGAGAAACCAACGGATTCCATGACTAACCCAAATTTATACAATATTTTTCCACAAATACAGCCCTACATAGGATAATAGAGGGAAACCACCAACACAAGGAGGAAAATTATACCCAAGAAAAAGCAAGGAAGTAATCTTCCAACAAACCTAAAAGAAGATAGACACACAAACATAACTCTACATCTAATAACAAAAAGAACAGGAAGCAGCAATCATTTTTCCTTAATAACTCTTAATATCAATGGACACAATTCACCAATTAAAAGACATAAACTAGCAGACTGGATACGTAAACAGGACCCAACATTTTGCTGCATACAAGAAACGCATCTCAGTGACAAAGACAGACACTACCTCAGAATAAAAGGCTGAAAACAAAGTTCCAAGCAAATGATCACAAGAAACAAGCTGGAGTAGCCATTATAATATCAAATAAAATCAACTTTCAACCAGAAGTTATCAAGAAAGATAAGAATGGACACTTCATACTCTCGACTAAGGAAAAATCTACCAAGATGAACTCTCAATTCTGAACATCTATGCTCCAAATACAAGAGCACCCACATTTATAAAAGAGACTTTATTAAAACTCAAAGCACACATTGCACCTCACACAATAATAGTGGGAGATTTGAACAACCCACTCTCATCAATGGACAGATCATGGAAACTGAAACTAATCAGACACACACTAAAACTAAGAGAAGTTATAAACCAAATGGATTTAGCAAATATTTCTAGAACATTTCATCCAAAAACGAAAATATACACCTTCTTCTCAGCATCTCATGGTACATTCTCCAAAACTGACCATAAAACTGGTCACAAAACAGGCCTCAACAGATACAAGAAGATTGAAATAACCCCATGCATCCCATCAGAGAACCACAGACGAAGGCTGGTCTTCAATAATGATAAAATCAATGGAAAGTCTACATACACATGGAAAATGAACAATGCTCTACTCAAAGATAACTTGGTCAAGGAAGAAATAAAGAAAGAAATTAAAAGACTTTTTAGAACGCAATGTAAATGAGGACACATCATGCCAAAACTTATGGGACACAATGAAAGCAGTGCTAAGAGGAAAACTCATAGCTCTAAGTGCTGAAAAAAAGAAACTAGAGAGAACATACACTAACAACATGATAGCACATGTGAAAGCTCTAGAACAAAAAGAAGCAAATACTCCCAAGAGGAGCAGATGACAGGAAACAATCAAACTCAAGGCTGAAATCAACCAAGTAGAAACAAAAAAAAAACTATACAAAGTATCAACAAAACCAGGAGCTGGTTCTTAGAGAAAATCAACATGATAGATAAACCCTTACCAGACTAACCAAAGGGCACAGAGACAGTATCCAAATTAATAAAATCAGAACTGAAAAGGGAGACATAAACAAATAGAAACTGAGGAAATTCAAAAAATCATCAAATCTTGCTAAGAAAAAGCCTAGACTCAACAAAACTAGAAAATCTGGATGAGATGGACAATTTTCTAGAAAAATACAAGGTACCAAAGTTAAATCAATATCAGATAAACCATCTAAATAGTCCCATAACCCCTAAAGAAATAGCAGCAGTCATTAAAAGTCTCCCCACCAAAAAAATCCCAGGGTGAGATAATTTTAGTACAGAATTCTATCAGACAATCAAGGAAGACCCAACACCGATTCTCTATAAACTCTTCCACAAAACAGAAATGGAAGGAACACTACCCAATTCGTTTTATGAAGCCACAATTACACTAGTAACTAAACCACACAAAGACCCAACAATGAAAGAGAACTTCAGACCAATCTCCCTTATGAAAATCGATGCAAAAATACTCAATAAAATTCTCGCAAACTGAACCCAAGACCACATCAAAAAAATCATCTACTATGATCAAGTAGGCTTTATCCTAGGAATGCAGGGATGGTTCAATATTCAAAAATCCATCAACATAAACCACTACATAAACTAACTCAAATGAAGAAAAAAAAACCACATGATCATCTCACTAGATTCTAAGAAAACATTTGACAAAATTCAATACCCCTTCATGGTAAAAGTCTTAGAAAAAAACAGGAATTCAAGGCCCATACCTAAACACAGTAAAAGCAATATACATAGTAAAAGCAATATACAGCAAGCCAATAGCCAACATCAAACTAAACGGAGAGAAACTTGAAGCAATCCCACTAAAATCAGGGACTAGACAAGGCTGCCCACTCTCTCCCTACCTATTCAATATAGTAACCCTAATCAGAGCAATTAGACAAAAAAGGAAGTCAAAGGGATACAAATAGGAAAGGAAGAAGTCAAAATATCACTATTTGCAGATGATATGATAGTATGCTTAAGTGACCCCAAAACCTCCACCAAAGAACTCCTAAACCTGTTAAACAACTTCAGCAAAGTGGTTGGATATAAAATCAACTCAAACAAATCAGTAGCCTTCCTCTACTTGAAGAATAAACAGGCTGAGAAAGAAATTAAAGAAATGACACCCTTCACAATAGTCACAAAGAATATAAAATACCTTGGTGTGAATCTAACCAAGCAAGTGAAAGATCTCTATGAAAAGAACTTCAAGTCTCTGAAGAAATAAATCGAAGATCATCTCAGAAGATGAAAATATCTCCCATGCTCATGGATTGGCAGGATTAATATAGTAAAAATGGCCATCTTGTCAAAAACAATCTACAGATTCAATGCAATCTCCATCAAAATCCCCACTCAATTCTTCACAGAGATAGAAAGAGCAATTCTCAAATTCATTTGGGTTAACAAAAAACTCAGGATAGCATGAACTATTCTCAACAGTAAAAGTACTTCTGGGGGAAATCACCATCCCTAACCTCAAGCTGTACTACAGAGCAATAGTGATAAAAACTGCATGGTATTGGTACAGAGACAGGCAGGAAGATCAACAGAATAGAATTGAAGACCCAGAAATGAACCCACACACCTATAGTCACTTTATCTTTGACAAAGGAGCTAAAACCATCCAGTTGAAAAAAGACAGCATTTTCAACAAAAGTTTCTGGTTCAACTGGAGATCAGCATGTAGAAGAATGCAAATCCATCCATTCTTATCTCCTTGTACAAAGCTCAAGTCCAAGTGGTTCAAGGACCTTCACATAAAACCAGATACACTGAAACTAATAGAAGAGAAGGTGGGGAAGACCCTCGAATACCTAGGCACAGGGGAAAAGTTCCTGAACAGGACACTAATAGCTTGTCCTCTAAGATCAAGAATTGACAAATGGGACCTCATAAAATTGCAAATCTTCTGTAAGGCAAGGTACACTGTCAATAGAACAAAATGGCAACCAACAGATTGGGAAAAGAACTTTACTAATCCTACATCCAACAGAGGGCTAATATCCAATATATACAAAGAACTCAAGAAATTAGACTCC